AAAATTTAAGGTATACAGAATTGAAGGACCCCCCCCCCCCCCCCCCCCCCCCCCCCAATTCAGACCCTTATACAAAACACAACATAGAATACTAAAGACTGAGCAACACGAACCGGCCACCCGGCAAAAACAGGGGTGATCTCAGGTGCTCCGGAAGGATAAGCAGATCCTGTTCCACTTGTGGCACCCGTAAGTACAAACTCGGTGATAAGTCTTATTCGGTAGGTCACATTCGGGGAAAAGCAGGACGGGGATTGCGGTTACGATGATTGGAATATATCCGTCGTCTTCTGTGAGACAGATATTCCATATCGGTCAACAAACTCGTGCTGGCGTCCGTAAGATTTCGAAGGGGTGATTTCAACTTCACCACTTGAAACTCTTGGTTTAATAGCTTCCTTGTGAGCAGCAAACCTATATCAAGGACATCATGATAGGAAACGCAAGCCTTGGGATATCGTATCAACTGGGAGATATATTCCATATGCAGGCGCTGTTGGAATGTTGGTTCATAGAAATGGAAAGTTCACAATCGGGAGGCTGAAATCATCTCCTTTGTCGTACACTTTTGTTCTCAACCGACCCTTATTGTCAATTTCTAGATGTAAGTCGAGAAATGAGGCAGACTTTTCCTATAATTGTTTACTTTTTACACATTGTGACTTGGATGGAGAGTTGTCTCATTAGCACTCATACCACATCTTCTTATTTATATTAACTGTATCTGTTGTATCCTTTATTTCAAGTTCGATGGCATAGATGCTTTCAACATAGTCACCAAATTTTTTGGTTTGAATCAGAGTGATTTTTTACAAAGTACGAGCTATCTCTTCTTAAGACAAGATACTTTTATCTACGTTGGCCATCCTTTTTTATGAAACAAAGCAGGACCAACTCTTTTAATTTGTCTTTTAGTTTAGAATGGGGAATACTTGTGTGTAAAGTGTAGAAAAGTAAAATGTTTTAATACTATTGCAAGACGAAAATCTTAGATATTGCATATACTCTAACAGATCTTTGGAATTTTTTAGTATCCACATCTGATTCACGAAATAACGATTTTGAGGGGGACTTTATGTTTGTTCTAAACCATTTTGATTGTCTGTGTTTCATTTATTCACAACTTTATAAACTTGGTGCGATTAAGAGATTGACATATTGTATAGACAGCTGTATTTTGTTGAAGTCTGTATGGTGCTCTCTCGATATCGTTTGGTTAGTTTTGTTGTTGGGATACTGTAGCATTGTTAGAGTAGATCTGATCCTGATCCGGGGCGGGAACCTTTACTATATATATATATATGTTAACAAAATACATCTTAAGCGACAGGAAAGAAAAAAAATCGATGCAAACAAAGGGACAGAAAAAAAAATGATGCGTGAAACTTGATGTCAATTTATATTCAAAAATCAATATATTTGTTTTGAATATGACAGTTTTTTTTTGTGTTTTTTTTTATATAGGTTAAAGTTACACAATTTACATTCATCTTATAATTTTGTTCTTTCCTATCGCTAGCAAAGATATATTATGTTGATTAAAAATGTAAATACTTTGCACATCGACATTGTTAGTACATTACACAGCGGCTGAATTGGAGAATCTGGGCTCTCGATTGCTATGCGGGATTTACAAATTTCTGCTTTTATTCAAAGTGCCCTTATTTCTAGTGAATGTTCAAATTTCAAACCCTTCATCTCAGACCAAACTATCTTTTTAATTGTTTGATTGGTCTCGTCCTAAATATGCATGATATAATTGCCACTGAATGTTGAGTGAGCAGTATTCATTCAATCTTAAGCGTGTGTTTTTTTTTTATACAGCAATAGTAGCCATATTTATACAGCAATATACAGCATCAGTTACTGATGTTCAAATCTTGTTTATACTACAGACAAAGTGAAGACGGCTGAGTCGACAAAGGGAGCGTCTCCTGCTTTTCGTCCATAATAGAAACCGGAGATGTATATATGTCTCTGTCGAAATACATCTAAAATGTCACAATGAGAATATGACATAATGTGTGTTCCTTGTGGTTTTTTTAAGGGAAATCTGAATCCAAATTAACATAACAGTCACAGTCCCCATGTCACACCCAAATCAACGTCCCCATATATATATATATATATAAAACACTGTATTAAATGCCGTCATCAATAAAAAAAATACCGTTGGTTTTCCCGTTTGAATGGTTTTACACTAGTAATTTTTTGGGGCCCTTTATAGCTTACTGTTCGGTGTGAGCCAAGGCTCCGTGTTGAAGACCTTACTGTGACCTATAATGGTTTACTTTTATAAATTTTGACTTGGATGGAGAGTTGTCTCATTGGCACTCATACCACATCTTCTTATATCTAATCTTGATTTTCTTTTCATTGTAATGATACTGAACTGTCAATTCTTTATTCTTATTCTCTATGTAAGGCTGTATGAGTTACACCACAAACCTCTTTGCCCATTTAAGTCTGAATAAATTGTTACAGATCTTAAAATAATAAGGAAGACTATAATTCTTACATACATGAGGTTCAAACTCAGTCATATGGGATCTTAGAATGATTTTGACTATGTACCTTTTGATAAAATAGCTCACAATATATTAAAAATCTTTATCTACCCTAACATTTTTCCATAGGGTGTTATGGTGATAGTTAATGAAAAAAGTCACCATTGGACGTTGTCTGTGACCAAATATAGATTGATACCAATTCCGAATACACACACACACACCACACATGAGCAGACAATACCTAATCTGTGACCAAATATAAATTGATACCAATTCTAAAAACACACATGAGCAGATAGCATGCGATACCAATTCTAAATACACACACACGAGCAGACAACACGTAATCTGTGACCAAATATAAATTGATACCAACACCAAAGTCTAAATACACACACACGAGCAGACAGCATGTAATCTGTGACCAAATATCATCTGATACCAACACCAAAGTCTAAATACACACACACGAGCAGACAACACGTAATCGGTGACCAAATATCATCTGATACCAACACCAAAGTCTAAATACACATTCACGAGCAGACAACACGTAATCTGTGACCAAATATCATCTGATACCAACACCAAAGTCTAAATACACACACGAGCAGACAACACGTAATCGGTGACCAAATATCATCTGATACCAACACCAAAGTCTAAATACACATACACGAGCAGACAACACGTAATCGGTGACCAAATATCATCTGATACCAACACCAAATTCTGAGGGCTGAGGATTTTACACAATTAAGTTACTGTTTTGGCCTCCCATATGTTTTGGAACATGCATCTGACATACTAATACAATGTGATATAACAACTCAACCTTGTATTAGGACAAATACACAAAAAGAACCTGAACTTTCCTATTAAATTTATTGATTAATTTTCAAGTGATTAGAACTAGAGGCTCCCAGGCACCTATATTGCCCACATGTTATTTTTGCATATAATCGATACAATACCAATTATTCTTTTATCTATAAACACAAACACCAACATTCAACTATGGACAAAGGAAGACAATTCCAATTTTTACTCACTAGCCTAGTAGTTAGTACTTTTGTGTTGACATGAATTATCACGGATATGTTTATAATTATAAATCAACTGTTTACAAAACTTTGAAAATTTAGAAATACTAAAGATTTTCTACCCAAGGAATAGATTAACGTAGCTGTATCTGGCAAAACATTTCAGAATTTTGGGTCCTCAATGCTCTTCAACTTCATAATTTATTTGGCCTTTTCAACCTTTTGATTCAAGTGTCACTTGCAAGTCTTTTGTGGACGAAACGCATGTCAGGCTTACAAAATTTGAATCCTGGTATCTATAATGAGTTTATTTTTACTTTTACAGGGTCTGCACATCTGTTGGTAGACACTCAAGACTAAGTAGCCTGTGCTTTGGTATTTGTATGACCTACTGTGAATTCAGAAATTTTTGCATACATTTATTATTGTGATTGTTGAATAATGGACAAAAATGTCAGATACTAACTATTGCAAAATTACAAAATAATGCTATCAAAACAAATAAGATTTTGCAAAACCTATCCTTATCCTGTCTGTTTTCACAATAAAAAAAAAAAACAAAATGTCTGAATTATGTTATTATGATTAAACTCAGGTTGCAACTCCCTGAGGTAAAGTTGACAGTATTTTTCATTCTGTTAAAGGCCCTTTTGGGTTTTCATTTTCTCAATCGTTTTAAATTTGTGTTTTTTCGAACATTTGGTCTCAAGTGAACCTGAAGAATGCTTTTTCAACATCTGTTCTCTTAACAGAAATCATAATCAGAGGAATGTTTTCCATTGATCAGTTGTTTTTTTTACTGCAACAAAATTGATTTCCACCATAAAACTTACATATAGTAATACATTTTTAAAAGTGCCAGTCTTTGTAAGAATCAGGAAATTTAGAAGAATTTCGAAATATGACAGAAAAAACCCTCCAATCTAACCATCCTATTTTGAAGTTTATAACACTCATCCGGAGTTAAAAATGATAAGTCTTTCATTTTTGCATGTATGATAATTCGAAAAAAATCTCTAGGTAATATTTTGGTTAGAATGATAGCAAATTACAGAGTTAGCTCCCCTTAACTGTTAATTTCCAGTGCATTTCAACCAAATTATATCTTAAAATACCAGAACAGGAAAAGCAATCGAATGTTAAATTGGTGCATCATTATACATTCTGAACTTAAAATAATGTAAACTTGAGCAGGTTTTTGTTTGTCATGTTTTCACCACTTAGGCACTGCCTGATTCTTCAAAGACAGATTGGGACTTAAAAACAAAGATTTCTATAAAACATATGTATGGAATTAAATTATGAAGGTATTTGTTTCTACTCCAAGATAATTTCAGAAACTTCTCTTGTATACAAGTTAAAATGTATAAATACTTTAAATAGAAGAGAAGTAGCAACTTTAAAATGAATGTTCCATAAAGACAGTGCACATATAAAAGACAAAACAAAATATTTATTCATTTAATGCTCTTTTCTAAAACTTAAAAATTCTGAATACAGACTTTATGATCTAACAAACAAAATATGAAATAAACAACTGGTTGAGGATCAAAATTTATCATATACAGACTAGAATTGAATGTATCTTGCAAATCAGGCAAAATCTAACAATTTCCTAAGGCAAATGTATTGTGTTTTAAATCCAAATAATGGTTAAATGAAAAGCACCAACTCTTATGATGTTGCAAAATTATTTTCTGTAGTTTATATGTATTAACTTACATTAACATCTATTATCCTTTAAAAACCAATCACATTATTATTCTTAAATTTAACATCTATAAAATCAGGGTGTAAAATCAAAAAACTTAATAACAGGCATTAACACAATCATAAACTAACATTAGTTAATAACAGGCATTAAACAATCATAAACTAACATTAGTTAATAACAGGTATTAACACAATCATAAACTAACATTAGTTAATAACAGGTATTAACACAATCATAAACTAACATTAGTTAATAACAAGCATTAACACAATCATAAACTAACATTAGTTAATAACAAGCATTAACACAACATTAGTTAAAAATGTAGGTAAAAATGCAGCAGAAAACATGTTAATTCTTATACAATAAAAAAAATCAATATCAACAGCTTTACAACAGTTAAAGAATTCTCTTTTAACCAAAGAATGTGTAGATCAGTTATAACTAACAGGTATTATAAAGTTATGTTATAACTAACAGGTATTATAAAGTTATACAAGTATAAACTTTGCAATTGGTTTCTCAAAAATATCAAAATATAAAAACAATAGTTTATACAGTATCTGCTGTGGTTATATTGTATATGGCACTTCTTATTTTACAACCTTTATATAAACAGTATCAGTTTCATTATTTGATAATCTTTATATAAACAGTATTTGTGTCATTATTTTACAACTTTTATATAAACAGTCTCATTATCACAACATTGATTCTCAATAATTCAAATAATTCCTTCATATTTTCATTTAGTTTAAGCAGAGTTCAATGACATTAAATACATGTTTGGTGGCAGGTCTTTTAAGAATTCTTTTGTGGAATTTTCACAACAACCTGAAAGAGAAAAATAATGCTATTAACGACAGAATATAAAAACAGTGCTACAGAGAAAATTCTCAAGGAAGATGTTCTTTGTTGATGATCCAAACCACAAATAATATTGCAAAATACATTTCTACAGTGGTGATATAAATGATACACTTTAAATCTATAAAAACATGAATCCTCAAACAGGCCAATTTTCTCCAAGCAATAAAGATTGAGTACATATTGTACCCACAAATCTAAGCACATAAACACACGTCATACATTGGAATTTCTACATAAAATATATAGTGACTTTTGCATTGCTTATACAACCAAGATTCAGAAACTGAAGATAGTATGAATATTTATATATTGACATGTGATTTTGCTTCCCTCCTCTACTGTAAACAGATTTAGACTTATTTGTAAATTGCTTGTTTAAGGCTTCATATTTTTCATATACTTTAAGAGGTATATTCTGTTATTGAAAAATGTTTGTTTGTTCTTTTTGTAAATGGAAGTATAATAATGTATAATTACCTAATGTACAATACCATATATCATGTTTACATGCCAGTATACACTTCATGTAACTTTAAACTGTTGACACAGAGATATGTTTCCCCTTTTTGTAATTTTGATAATATAATGCAAATGTTGAATCTAAATGGCAATATTTAATAAAATTGAGAATGGAAATGGGGAATATGTCAAAGAGACAACAACCCGACCAAAGAGCAGACAACAGCTGAAGGCCACCAATGGGTCTTCAACGCAGCGAGAAAATCCTGCACATGTAAACTATGCAAAACATTCAAAGTCAATGAACCATGAATGAAGGTGCAGGGTCAAATAACCTCCATGGAAATGAGAAATGCCAATGCTTATGAAACTGCATACCAAATACAATTGACTTATCACAAGTCATTCCTTATAAACTAACCTAAACACAAACTTCAACTTGTATACTATGTTAAAGTTTCAAAGTCAATGAACCATGATGTGAGGGCAAGGCCATATAATCTTCATGGAAATGAGACTTGCAATTGCTAATACAACTGCATACCAAAAATCAGTGACTTAACTTTAGTAGTTAATCTTTAACTGATAAAATCGCGAACTTTAACATGTAAACTATGCAAAACATTCAGTAAATAGACCATGACTGAGGGGGCGGAGCCAAATAATCTCCATGGAAATGAGATGAACCAATGCTAATACATCTGCATACCAAATATCATTGACAAACCAATAGTGATTCCCTTTATTCTGACCTAATCACAAACTAATACATGACAAGAGTGCACACGCTGAAATGTGTCGCCTTCTTTACTACCATTGATTTTATGGTGATAACCCTAAATAAAAAGTTTTACTACAAGTAACACATAAACTTAACATGATCCAAGAAAATGAGGTCAAGGTCAGATAAACCAAGCCAGAAATACATGTACACCTTACAATCATTCCATACATTGAATATAGTTGACCTATTGCTTATAGTAAGCGAGCAACAGACCAAACTATGATAACTTTATATTGACCAATGAACCATGAATATGAGGCCAAGGTCAATGGAACCCTGCCAGACAGACATGTACACCTTACAATCATTCAATGTATCAAATATAGTTGACATATTAAATATAGTATCTAAGAAACAAACTTAATCAGAAAAACTTAATATTGACCAAGTAACTATGAAAATGCTGTCAAGGTCAGATGATACCTGCCAGACAGACGTACAAACCTTACAATCACTCAATACACCAAATATAGTTGCCCTATTACTTATAGTTTAAGAAAAAACAGACCAAAACACAAGTGGTTCACCCTATACTGACCTAATCACAAACGAATACATGTAAAGTAAGCAGGAGTTTTAAAGTCAATAGGCCATGACTGAGGGGACGGAGCTAAATAATCTCTCATCATGGAAATGAGATGTGCCAATGCTAATACAATTGTTTACCAAATATCATTGACCTACCACTAGTGGTTCCCCATAAACCGACCCAATCACAAACTAATACATTGTTGACTCCACCCCTGGTTTCAGCACACCCAAGTCTCACTTTTTGACTTCATCGAGGCGAGACAATAAAACTGTTTCAAATTGTGATTTGTTTTACAACTCTTCAGGATAAAATAATTGACTATTGTTGATGCACCATTCCATTTAACCATTAAATAGCAGTTACTTTATAAGACTCATATTTTAAAGAGTAAAAAAGTCATATAACCACCTGCATCTGAACTTATAATGAAATTGCTAAAATTTTTGATACATATTACACAGTTGTGGATCAAGGTCTTTTTTAAAAGGACTTGTAAAAGATCCGTCTATGCATTAATCATATATGTAGCTCCATAAGGGGTCCATCCAATAAATTTGAGTCTGTTACATCATGCCTGAAAGTGTAACATACCTACACATAGTACTGCATTCATATGAGATGTGTTACTCATCTTCCTTTTAAATTTAATATTTTGGCAGAAAAAGAGTTTTAAACTTACATTCTTTACTTCATAGTACTGTGTAATTCCATATTCTCCCCTGTAAAACAAATTTTTCAGTTGAATCAACAAGTTTAATACAGTTCTGATATAAAACATCTATAAAAGTGGTTGACATGAACCTGTACATATTTGGGCACAGATCTAGGATTTGATGTTAGGGAGCCCTCCTGAGAATTAGGAATTAGAGGACCTTATTTTGACACAAAATTGGCTGTATTTTACCTTTATTACATTTTATTTAAAGTCTGAATCCGTACCGGCTATTGGTTTCTTTCACAACTCATTAATAGTATGACCCCTTATTATACAGTATGGACACTTACCTATTGAATGATAGAAATTCTTTTTCAGAAATGGGAACACAATGTAATAAAAAACTTAAGGGATAAAAACAACACTGATGGGATGACACCAGAAAAGTAACACACCCAGTGTAAATGTGAGGTATTTTTGGGGGCTTACTTCAATTAAATTTTCATAGTTTAAACAAGACTTTGATCTTTTTTTACCTTTTTTTAGTGTAAAAAGTAAAATATAAAATTATGTTCTTTACTTTTGGCACTGCACATGATCATGTCTGTCAGGCTTTTCTATCAAAACTTAATTTTGTAACCTCAAAATAAAGAAGACATATTTAAAGAGTGTGTTTGTTTTTTATGTCAATAAAATTCTCCTTAATGTGACCTTCAATTTAACTAAAATTGAATACTGTAAATTCAGAAATTATCAATGATTATTGCGTTCATTTAAAATAGCGATTTTAGACTAAATTGCGATTTTAATTTTTGCGATATTGAGAAAAATCCTGTTTAATTCATATAAAAAATTTCAAAATGTGAGTTTAAATTATTGCGATTATAACCCTGTTGCATTTTTCGCAATAATAAAAACATTGCAATAATTTCTGAATTTACAGTGCCAATTTTCCAAATCAGTAACCTAAACATATCACGTGGATGTAAAAACAGGATTCACTTCTAGGTTTAATTAAATCTGGCATATACCACAAATCTCAGGTTATACAACCAGTGTTCTCCCCAGGCCCTTAAAGGACTGCGGGCCCGCGATGTATAATTTTTTACCGTGGTGGTATCGTTCTTACCGCGATGTATAATTTTTCTCCGTGGTGCTAAAATTTTCAGTTAAAAAATCGTTAATCGGTAAAGTTTTAAACGACTTGTTAAATCTTTTCCGTGCGGTATAAAATTCCAGGTGAAATTTGACCAGTTCAAACTAGTTCAACACGGATTGTTTACACCACGTGATCGATTTACCTTATGAGGTTAACCTTGTTGATTGGATTTAATCGATGTAATTAACACTTGTAACATGATTCTTTTGTGTTTTAATTAAGAGTTCATAACTTTATGATCACAGATAACTATTTTATGGCTTCACTCTCCACCCAAGCACTGACCTGTGACAAGTCGGCAAATACTTTGTACACAAACAGTGTTTTGACCCGATAGGAACATTTTTTGTACATCATAATGGTGGCTCATTACGTATAATGGACAACTATACATTTCCCAATTCTTATATTATAGTATTATATGTCTCTGATTAAACCATGGCCAATATTATCTTTAATTATAACATAGTTATTGCATGATAGTCGGGATTCAAACTGTAGATATCACATGACCCAGTTAGTTCACATAGAATATTCAAGTTTATTTACAATTAATTGCAATCTATTATATTTTATAAATAAAATGTATGACTGTACCTTCAAACTGGATATCTATATCCATAATTAATGGATAACAGAAGTAATCTTGCAAATTTTATCCATAAGCACATGTTAAATCTATTTATATCTACTTCCTGTCATTTAGGCGGGAAAATAGGGAGACTTAGTTGTTGACATTGAATATGGTTACTAATAGATCTATAGACCAAAGATAAATTTATAGATTTAGGAATTCTTTTTAAATGGTTCATGACAAATAAAGATTTAGATTTTAGGGCAGTATTAAGTCTGTATCTTTGTTTGATTATCACCAAAGACAAGAAAGGTTAATATTTACATGAAATCTATGGCAAAATGTTCTAAAATTTACGAAAAATATTTTTTTTATTAAAATCTAAGATAGAAACTGGTTCAAATAATAAAACAAAATTTGCAATTGTTCTTGTTAATTTTATATCTTCTTATGACAGGAATCCTTTCACATACAACAACTTTTTTTCTAGAAACTTGAAAGTTTTTTAAATTGAACATTTTTGTTCTCTTTTGAATGATATTTTATTGTTATTGATTTTGGATTTTATAAAAGATTTAGTTACATTAAATTCAGATGAATATTTTATTATGAATCATAATTTATTTATTTCAAAAAAATATTAAAGTATACAAACTGTTTTTTATTTACTTCTTTTTTACCAATAATTTTCTGAATCAATGTCTACATAACACAGTACCACAGTGTTAAAACAAAACAAGAGACATAAAAACTACAGTAACTAGAGCTAAGCGACGCGACGCGACACAACTGATTGCATAAAATATTTCACCAAGAAGTCCACACGCGTTACCCTGGTGCTATCCAAAAATCCTGGGGAGAAAACGGATACAACTATATAGACAGGGATACCTTCTCTTGAGAAAGTTATTTTATAAATAACTGTCAAGAGTGGAGAAAATTTCTATGCTACCAGATACAGTGGGAGAATCCATTTCTAAAATTATTCATCATAAGGTACGATCATAAGGCATGGTCATTTTTTTTTTTTTTTAGAGAATACCAAAATCAAAGGAAGGCAGGCAAGAAATGATAGATTTATAATACTTCTTGATTTTAGAACTCAAGGGGCCAAAAAGATGGCCTTATCATACCTTTTCCTTTGATGTCATAATCAACATTTTACCAATGAAGATTTGAAATGTTGATTGTCAAAGTATAAATCAAATACTGTAAATTCACAAATTATTGAGTGCATTTATTATTGCGATTTTGTCATTTTAGACTAAAATGCGATTTTAATTTTGGCGATATTGAGAAAAATCCTGTTTAATTCATATAAAAAATTTCAAAATGCGAGTTTAAATTATTGCGATTATAACCCTGTCGCATTTTTCGCAATAATAAAAACATCGCAATAATTTCTGAATTTACAATAAGAATAAGATTGTGTCAGGCCATGTAATGATTATTCTTCATTGTTTAACCTGTATAAAACAAACACTTGTCTAATAAAAAAAAATCTTCAGTCTCAACAAAGTTCAATTTTGACAGACTTCACTGTATTTGGGTCACTCCCCAAATAAGGGGTCTGACCTTATGGGAATGAGAATATTTTATTATTTTAACAAGCTATCAGGAAAAAAATTAGGACATGTTTAGAAATATGACTGATTGGTGTTAAATGCCACTTTCAGAACTATTTGCTAAAATCAGTTATTACTGGTGGAGGAAGCTGGAGTGCCCAGAGAGAACCGTGACCTTTGACAAACTGAAAAGCCTACCAGTAATCAATTAAGATTGGAGTCGAATATACCCGGTACCTGCTACATGCAGGGTTCAAACTCACAACCTCAGTGTTGACATGCTAGTAGTGCAGTAGTTGAATTATTAGACCACTCAGCCAGCGAGGCCCTTTCTAGAAATATGAATATGGAAAAAGTCATCTTCCATCTATATGTTTTGAGTGCTTTGATAAATATTATAGAGTACAATACAATATACATACAATTCTCTACCCAGTCCAGACATTTTAAATCCTCCAAATGGTGCCTGGGCACTGACAACATTGTAGCAATTTATCCTGAAATATAAAAATATTCCTTAATCGTTGTAACACACAATACAAAAATAAAATGCTCCGCTGGGGCGCAGCTTGATACGACCGCAGAGGTCGAACCCTGAACAGTTAGGGCAAGTATGGACACAACATTCAAGCTTGATACAGCACTGAATTTGGATTGTAATTAAATATTTGACACAGCATAGGTTTCTGACACAGAATGAAAGTGGTCTAAGAACTTAAAAATTTTTAATTTACCTATTCAAACCATATCATTATTATTTGCTTTTATATATAAATCAGAAATAACCAATTTAAAATGGAAAATTTTAAAGAAAAAAAAATCCCCCCCAAATTTTTTGAACCCCCTTATGATTCATCACCCCCAAACTCAATCCCAGCCTTCCCTTTGTGGTATGGTACTTTGCAGTACAATTTCAGAGATCCATACACTTAAACACAAGTTATTGTCTGGAAACTAGAAAAATGCTTGTTTTTTGGCCCCTTTTTGGCCCCAAATTCCTAAACGTTTAGGGCAATTACCCCCAAACTCAAACCCAGCTTTCCCTTTGTGATATGGAACCATGCAGTACAATTTCATAAAGATCCATACATTACACACAAGTCATTGTCCTGAAACTAGAAAAATGCTTGTTTTTTTGCCCCTTTATGGCCCCTAATTCCTAAAATTTTGAGGGAATAACCCCCAAAATCAATCCCAGCCTTCCCTTTGAGGTATGGTACCTTGCAGTACAATTTCAGAGAGATCCATACACCTGAACACAAGTTATTGTCTGGAAACTAGAAAAATGCTTATTTTTGGCCCCTTATTCCTAAACTTTTTGGGCAATTACCCCCAAACTCAATTCCAGCTTTCCCTTTGTGATATGGAACCTTGTAGTACAATTTCATAAAGATCCATACACTTACACACAAGTTATTGTCCTGAAACTAGAAAAATGCTTGTTTTTTGCCCCTTTTTGGCCCTTATTTCCTAAAATTTTGAGGCAATAACCCCCAAAATCAATACCAGCATTCCCTTTGTGATATGGAACCTTGTGATACAATGTCAGAGAGATCCATACACTTACACACAAGTTATTGTCATGAAACTAGAAAAATGCTTGTTTTTTGCCCCTTTTTGCCCCTAATTCCTAAAATTTGGAGGCAATTACCCCCAAAATCAATCCCAGCATTTCCTTTGTCATATGGAACCTTGTGGTACAATGTCAGAGAGATCCATACACTTACACACAAGTTGTGTCTGGAAGTTACAAAAATGCTTATTTTTGGCCCCTTTTTGGCCTCTAATTCCTTAACTGTTTGTACCATAACCCCCAAATCAATCCCCACCTTCCTTTCATAGAGATCCATTCACTTAAACTAAAGTTAGAGTGCGAAAACTAATGTGTCTTCGGACGACGATGACGACAACGACGCCAACGTCATACCAATATACGACCACAAAAATTTTTTTGCGGTCGTATAAAAATCACAAAAACCTACATCAGAACTTTCATCATTTACAATACACCACATTAGAACTTTCATTTACAATACACCACATTAGAACTTTCATCATTTACAATACACCACATTAGAACTTTCATCATTTACAATACACCACATTAGAACTTTCATTTACAATACACCACATTAGAACTTTCATCATTTACAATACATCTAATCAGAACTTTTATTAAAATTCTATGAGTCATTTGGATCAGTTGTTTAATGTGCAAGAAAATACATTGTGCTGGGAAAAGACAAAATGACTCTCCTTTCAACAACCTGTTTCTGAATTGATAAACACAAATACTGTACAACAGTTATAACTGCAAGTACTCTTATATCCATACATTTTGCTTTTGTTTTATGTTGGTTGTTTTTGTGCTCCTCCCAATCTGTCATGTTAAGCCATTTCCAACTGATTTTTAAAGTTTGTTCTCATGTTGTGCCTGCTACACCACTGTCAAGGTTAGGGGAGGGTAGAGCTCTCACAAACATGTTAATGTGCCTGTTACACCACTGTCAAGGTTAGGGGGAGGGTAGAGCTCTCACAAACATGTTAATGTGCCTGTTACACCACTGTCAAGGTTAGGGGGAGGGTAGAGCTCTCACAAACATGTTAATGTGCCTCTTACACCACTGTTAAGGTTAGGGGGAGGGTAGAGCTCTCACAAACATGTTAATGTTCTGTTACACCACTGTCAAGGTTAGGGGGAGGGTAGAGCTCTCACAAACATGTTAATGTGCCTGTTACACCACTGTTAAGGTTAGGGGGAGGGTAGAACTCTCACAAACATGTTAATGTGCCTGTTACACCACTGTCAAGGTTAGGGGAGGATAGAGCTCTCACAAACATGTTAATGTGCTGTTACACCACTGTTAAGGTTAGAGGGAGGATAGAGCTCTCACAAACATGTTAATGTGCTGTTACACCACTGTTAAGGTTAGAGGGAGGATAGAACTCTCACAAACATGTTAATGTTCTGTTACACCACTGTTAAGGTTAGAGGGAGGATAGAACTCTCATAAACATGTTAATGTGCCTGTTACACCACTGTCAAGGTTAGAGGGAGGATAGAGCTCTCACAAACATGTTAATGTTCTGTTACACCACTGTTAAGGTTAGGGGGAGGGTAGAGCTCTCACAAACATGTTAATGTGCCTGTTACACCACTGTTAAGGTAAGGGAGAGGGTAGAGCTCTCACAAACATGTTAATGTGCTGTTACACCACTGTTAAGGTTAGAGGGAGGATAGAGCTCTCACAAACATGTTAATGTGCCTGTTACACCACTGTTAAGGTTAGGGGAGGATAGAGCTCTCACAAACATGTCAATGTGCCTGTTACACCACTGTTAAGGCTAGGGGGAGGGAAGAGCTCTCACAAACATGTTAATGTGCCTGTTCAAAGTAAGGGGCCTATAATTCAGTGTTGCTGTCTGTCATATTTAATCAACATTAATTCATATGTAATAAATCAGGGGGTTGGATTTCTTTTTTCACATTTTGTTATGTCAGCACTTTTATATCTGATCTATATGGTACCTGTATATAGTTGAAGGCCATATGATGATCTATTGTTACGAACACCCACGTCATTTGGTCTCTGTTGGATATTTGTCTCATTTGCAATCATATCATATCTCTTTATCTTTATAATGACAGTGTTGTACTACAAACACAATTCTAATATATATATACTAAGTGGCTTTCTTAGATAGTTCTAAAAACCTACTGAAATATTAGTAACCATTGCTACAGAGAAACACCTTACCATACAGTTCCTGCCTGTACACCATGGGAAAACATCATGAATTGCTTTGTTGATATCATTTGTACAGAGATATAACTTACCATACAGTTCCTGCCTGTACACACTGGGAAAACATCATGAATGGCTTTGTTGATATCATTTGTACAGAGATATAACTTACCATACAGTTCCTGCCTGTACACCCTGGGAAAACATCATGGCTTTGTTGATATCATTTGTACACAGATATAACTTACCATACAGTTCCTGCCTGTACACCCTGGGAAAACATCATGGCTTTGTTGATATCATTTGTACAGAGATATAACTTACCATACAGTTCCTGCCAGTACACCCTGGGAAAACATCATGGCTTTGTTGATATCATTTGTACAGTGATATAACTTACCATACAGTTCCTGCACGTACACCCTGGGAAAACATCATGGCTTTGTTGATATCATTTGTACAGAGATATAACTTACCATACAGTTCCTGCCTGTACACCCTTGGAAAACATCATGGCTTTGTTGATATCATTTGTACAGAGATATAACTTACCAGTTCCTGCCTGTACACCCTGGGAAAACATCATGGCTTTATTGATATCATTTGTACAGATATATAACTTACCATACAGTTCCTGCCTGTACACCCTGGGAAAACATAATGGCTTTGTTGATATCATTTGTACAGAGATATAACTTACCATACAGTTCCTGCCTGTACACCCTGGGAAAACATCATGAATGGCTTTATTGATATCATTTGTACTGAGATATAACTTACCATACAGTTCCTGCCTGTACACCCTGGGAAAACATCATGGCTTTGTTGATATCATTTGTACAGAGATATAACTTACCATACAGTTCCTGCCTGTACACCCTGGGAAAACATCATGGCTTTATTGATATCATTTGTACAGAGATATAACTTACCATACAGTTCCTGCCTGTACACCCTGGGAAAACATCATGGCTTTGTTGATATCATTTGTACAGAGATATAACTTACCATACAGTTCCTGCCTGTACACCCTGGGAAAACATCATGGCTTTGTTGATATCATTTGTACAGAGATATAACTTACCATACAGTTCCTGCCTGTACACCCTGGGAAAACATCATGGCTTTGTTGATATCATTTGTACAGAGATATAACTTACCATACAGTTCCTGCCTGTACACCCTGGGAAAACATCATGGCTTTGTTGATATCATTTGTACAGAGATATAACTTACCATACAGTTCCTGCCTGTACACCCTGGGAAAACATCATGGCTTTGTTGATATCATTTGTACAAAGATATAACTTACCATACAGTTCCAGCCTGTACACCCTGGGAAAACATCATGAATGCCTTTATTGATATCATTTGTACAGAGATATAACTTACCATACAGTCCCTGCCTGTACACCCTGGGAAAACATCATGGCTTTGTTGATATCATTTGTACAAAGATATAACTTACCATACAGTTCCTGCCTGTACACCCTGGGAAAACATCATGGCTTTGTTGATATCATTTGTACAGAGATATAACTTACCATATAGTTCCTGCCTGTACACCCTGGGAAAACATCATGGCTTTGTTGATATCATTTGTACAGAGATATAACTTACCATACAGTTCCTGCCTGTACACCCTGGGAAAACATCATGGCTTTGTTGATATCATTTGTAAATACTGCTGCACCCAAACCATAAGTTGTGCTGTTGGCTCTTTCCAATACTTCATCCATATCTTTAAACTTGAAGATCTGTTGAACTGGACCAAATATCTGACAAAGGTTTATACATAATTAATAACAACCAAGTGACATCAATCCCCTATAAATATATATGGGCTTTTCATATCCATCATATATATTAATAAATCATGTTGACCAAAGTATAAATGTTATACATCTTGTTTAAATCTACTGGGGTAAAAATACATTGGTGCCCATAGTGAGGAAAATAATTTAACACTATTTTTTCGCAAAATTCCATTTTACTGTTAAATCAAATTATTCAAATAAATAAACAAAGCTACAGAAGAATAGAGGCTTCAGATCAGATTTTGCCAAAAATATTCATTGCTTGTATATTACTTTAATTGTAATATGGGGACCAAGTCCCCAATAACAGTAACAAAATCAATAAAAATAAAAATTCAGTATAAAAATCATTATACTAATAAACTCAAATTGTTAACTTTTTTCCTTAACATTTGTGAGTTAAGCTTGCCCATATAAACCCTGTTCCTGTTCTGTTGACGGATGCTGCCATGTTGTAAGTCAAAGATTTCCTGCAAATTTGTATAACTGTTTACCAAAAAGAATACTGAGGATGAACATTTTGAATTTATTCTGTTTGAGTACGTAATAAAATGAGTCTGAAGCTTATCCAACATTCGATTTAATTCCATATACCTAATATAGTGGCCCTATTGCTTATAGCATCTGAGAAATAGACCAAACCACAAAAACTAAACATTGTGCAATAGACCATGAAATTGAGGTCAAGGTCAGGTGAAACCTGCCAGTCGGATATGTACACCTTACAATCATTCCATACACCAAATACAGTTGACCTACTGCCTGTAGAATCTGAGATATGTATTTTACCACGTAACTTTAACCTTGATCACTGATCCATGAAATGAGGTTGAGGTCAGGTCAACCCTACCTGATCAACATGCAGAGTTTGCAAGGAAGCTATATACCAAATACAGTTATTCTATTACTCATAATAAGAGAGTATTTCACTTTTCAAAACAACAGTAATTTTTTTCAAGCAGTCATTGAACCATGAAAATGAGGTCAAGAACTATTGACAGACAGAAGCTTCGTAACATAAGGTATCTGCACACAAGGTATGAAGCATCCAGGTCTTCTAGCTTCTGAAATATAAAGCTTTATACAAATAGTTTACGCAGTCGCCGCAACCACCGGATTGTAGTACCTATGTCTCTCATTTTGCAACTTTCTTCGCAGGCTAGACAAAAATGCATGTAATATTTCCTTCTGTACTTTAAGCAGCCTTTAATGATCTCTTCAAAATAACAATGGGTAGTTGCCTCTTGAATGTTCATTTTTACATATAGCTATAGTATAATACTGTATGCATATAAGTTTCCTCTTCCTACGACTTTAAACATATGTCCAAAGGAGATAAGGTTTTTTTTCTACATTAATTACAATAAAATACTCTGCTGGGCACAGCTTGATACGACCGCAAAGGTCGAACCCTGAACAGTTGGGGCAAGTATGGACACAACATTCAAGCTTAATACAGCACTGAATTTGGATTGTGATTAAATATTTGACACAGCATAGGTTTCTGACACAGAATGAATGTGGTCTAAGAACTTGAAAATTTTTAATTTACCTATTCAAACCATATCATTATTATTTGCTTTTATATATAAAAATCAGAAATAACCAATTTAAAATGGAAAATTGTAAAGAAAAAGAAGGAAAAAAAAATCCCTCCCCCAAATTTTTTGAACCCCCTTATGATTCATTATCCCCAAACTCAATCCCAGCCTTCCCTTTGTGGTATGGTACCTTGCAGTACAATTTCAGAGAGATCCATTCACTTGAACACGAGTTATTGTCTGGAAACTAGAAAAATGCTTGTTTTAAGGCCCCTTTTTGGCCCCAAATTCCTAAACTTTTCAGGCAATTACCCCCAAACTCAAACCCAGCTTTCCCTTTGTGATATGGAACCTTGTAGTATAATTTCATAAAGATCCATACACTTAAACACAAGTTATTGTCCTGAAACTAGAAAAATGCTTGTTTTTGCCCCTTTTTGGCCCCTAATTCCTAAAATTTAGAGGCAATTACCCCCAAAATCAATCCCAGCCTTCCCTTTGTGGTATGGTACCTTGCAGTACAATTTCAGAGAGTCATACACTTGAACAGAAGTTATTGTCTGGAAACTAGAAAAATGCTTATTTTTGGCCCCTTTTTGTCCCCTTATTCCTAAACATTTTGGGCAATTACCCCAAAACTCAATTCCAGCTTTCCCTTTGTGATATGGAACCTTGTAGTACAATTTCAGAAAGATCCATACACTTACACACAAGTTATTGTCCTGAAACTAGAAAAATGCTTGTTTTTTGCCCCTTTTTTGGCCCCTAATTCAATTTTGAGGCAATTACCCCCAAAATCAATCCCAGCATTCCCTTTGTGATATGGAACCTTGTGGTACAATGTCAGAGAGATCCATACACTAACACACAAGTTATGTCTGGAAGTTACAAAAATGCTTATTTTTGGCCCCCAATTCCTTAACTGTTGGTACCATAACCCCCAAAATCAATCCCAACCTTCCTTTTGTGGTATTGAACCTTATGGTAAAATTTCATAGAGATCCATTCACTTAAACTAAAGTTAGAGTGCGAAAACCAATGTGTCTTCGGACAACGACAACGCCGGACGACGACCACTATGACGCCAACGTCATACCAATATACGACTGCAAATTTTTTATAAAAATGAATATAACACTTATGAATTCGTTGCATCAGATTTACCTTTTTCTCCTTCCAGGTCAAATCAGAAACATTTTTTAAGAAGATAAAGAGTAAGATATGAATACCTCTTCCTTTGCAATTTTCATGTTATCTGTAACATCAGAGAAGACAGTAGGCTGGATAAAATATCCTTTGTCTGCAGCTTTAGAACCTCCACAGTTTAATTTTGCTCCTTCCTTCTTTCCACTTTCTATCATTCCTAATATCTTATTGAACTGTTCTTCATCAACCTGAATGATATAAAGATAATGTCAAACATTTTCTGAGGAGTATGCATACTTCGTTTAGGAAAACAATCATACAGAAATTACTTGATTAGATTTCTCTATTCTGGTAGCATGTCATCCAAATAGGACATGTATTTGCTTTTGATTTCTGAATATGTAAATAAACATATCTAATTAGACAGAGTACATGTATTAATAAACAAGAATGTGTCACTAGTATGGAGGTCCCACTCGCACTATCATTTTTTATGTTCAGTGGACTGTGAAATTGGGGTCAAAACTCTAATTTGGCATTAAAATTAGAAAGATCATATCATAGGGAACATGTTTACTAAGTTTCAAGTTGATTGGACTTCAACTTCATCAAAAACTACCTTGACCAAAAACTTTAACCCGAAGCGGGACAAACGGACGAACGGACGGACAAACGAACGGACGTAGAGACAGAAAAACATAATGCCCCTCTACTATTGTAGGTGGGACATAAAAAACCATTTCCCCAATATATATATAAGTGGTCAGTTAATGGTCAATTGCAAGAGAATATGTCTGAATGTTTCGATACGTTCTTTTTTCATGCCTTAAATCATTTATATCTTTTGTATAAAAATGCATTAACACGAAGTTTTAATTTAATTTGTCATAAAAACAGCCGAGTTACTACCTGTCTGAAGTTACACCTGAAATATTTTACTATGCAACTTAAGGCAAATTTTGTTCTTTTCCTCAATGTTTGAGGCCTTAATGGGCACGCAACAAAATAAATCACAAACATTTAAATTTTTGTTTGACCTTAAATCACAATGTATATGGGACGTAAAAGCATGTGGGATGTAAATGTTAATGGAATGTAAATGTATGTGGGATGTAAATGTATGTGGGATGTACATCTATATGGGATGTATGTGGGATGTAAATGTATGTTGGGTGTAAATGTGTGTGGGGTGTAAATGTATATGGGATGTAAATGTAAATGGGATGTAAATGTATTGACCTGACAAGTAGATTTGAACGAACCTGAGGGCCCTGCTCAGTTGCAGTATCATAAGGATCGCCAACTTTCCTTGTTGCTGCCTTTTCAATTGTTCTTTTGACAAATTCATCATAGATACTCTCCTGTACAAAGGTCCTACTGCCTGCTACACAACATTGTCCAGCATTGGTCATCACAGCTTCTTGGGCAGCTGCTACAGCTGTGTCCACTAAAAAGTGTTCATCAAATGGTCAGATATGATATATACTGGAAATTTGAAATTATATTCCCTTTATCATAAGGAAAAATCATTATTTGCTCCATTTTAGGATGGTATTTTCTTCTTGTCTACATATATTTTATAAGCAGTACTCTAATAGTACATCCTTATTTTATTTTGTTGCACTGTAAATTAACTAATTTTTGGAAGAGATTTATTTCAGTGACTTTTGAGAGAAGAAAAACAAAATGCTTATAAAACAGCTTCAATATATCAAACTTAGATCTTCTTGTAAAATTAAACACCACCATATTAGAAAAAAGCAAAAATATATTGTTGTAAATTTATGTGGTATTAGGGGTGCTATAAACAGTTTCGTATAAAATACTAGGGGTTATTCCCCGAATAAAAATAGCCATGGAGGAAAATCCCTCCAATTGGTGAAAAATTATCATGTTTTTTGTATTTGATAGGAAAAACTAGTTAGTCAGCTTTCAATTAAAACTAGTTAGTTAGCTTTCAATTAAAACTAGTTAGTTAGCTTTCAATTAAAACAGGTTAAGTTATCAATTGAAAATGATTTTAAAAATTAGAATAAATATACTCTTTTTAAGGGAAGACAACACTGTAAACTTTGTGGTTTTTATTTTAGTGAAAATAAAAAGAAATAATTGTAGCTACTCATGCTACTACATCTCTTTCCAGAGCCGGCAAATGTACCCTGAAACAAGATTTTTAAAAGACCGTGAAACAGTTCTTCGAAGTATGATTGTCACCAAAACTTACGATCAGCATCTTCAAATATAACATTAGGGCTCTTCCCGCCCAACTCTAATGTTGTTCTTTTCACATTAGAAGCTCCTGCTGCTTGCATAATAATCTGTCCAACCTGTGAAAAAAATCTTAAAATTACCATATACATATATTATATTTGTGCCTCCATATCTTACAGAATATCTTACTGTTATAAAAATAACAGATGATGAAGGTTTAAACAAAAAATAGTAATCTAAACTTTAACAGAATAAAGGTTTAAATAAAGTGTAAAATTCAAATTATAATATTTATCTTTGATGAATTAAGGTGTAATTTTTCATAGATGCACCCAAGTACCAAAAGTTAAATGTCAGACGGTTGGTAAAAAAAAAAGAGTTAAAGAAACAAAGTTGCACAGAAATGTCATAAAATTGCATTGCATAACTTTGTAATTTGCAGACTAATCACTTTTAATTTTATATACTTTATCAATAAAGTGTGAATTTTAAAGTCATTGTGTAACAGCTAGGCTCACTTTAGTTGAAACAAATTCAATAAAATAAATCATTCAATATAAGATCATACAGTATACAAAAATAGGAACCAGAACTATACAATATAAGATCATACAGTATACAAAAAAAGGATGCATAACTATACAATATGGCTTATTCAAGAGCTTCAAAAAATAGTGACGTTCAAAGTTATCAATACTATAATGAATATAAAAATAAGGAGATGTGGTATGATTGCCAATGAGACAAATTTCTAACAAAGTTAAAATGAAGTGGTTGTATTAAAGCAATTATAGGCAACCGTACTGCATTCAACAATGAGAAAAACCCATACCGTATAGTTGGCTATATGAAGCATGCAGAGCCAATTGAATTTAGTGAAAACTAAATGCAAAATAAAATTGATGTTAATGTAATTTTAAAGAAAAAAGCAAAAAAGGCATAAAAATGAAATAAGATGAAATGCATGCAAAGAAAACTTATAACTAAAGCTATCACAGTATGTTGTGAACCTTTTCAATGTGTAATTCTGTTTCAATAGGAAAAGAGTAGGATTTTCTTCATTAGCGAAAAGATCTGACCAAAAAAGCAAAATATTGGCATTATTAGGTTGTAGAAAATCTACAAGAGAATTCAACAGCAATTGGCATACTGGTATATGTTGGCATGTTAACATTAAATTGGAGCAGGTTTCCAAAGCATTGCAACAACTTTTACAGGAATCTACCGATGTAACGTAAAAATAAATTGGAGTTTAAAAAGCAAGAGTTTATTTGTTAGCATGTATGGAAAAATTGTCCAATGCAGTTTCAATCAACTTTTGACAAAGAGATATGTCTGGCCTGCATGTAACTTTGATAGCAAAATGCAAATTTTGAAATTAAAATGTCAATACTTTAACATGTAAAATATGCAAAACATACAAAGATAATTGTCAAAAATGCAATAAAGGGTACAAATCATCATTTAAGGAAAATATCTTCAATAAGGATGTATAATTTATGTATGCTTAATTTCTTCTAAATATTTTTTTTTACAAAATGCTTTTAACTAAACAGGTATATGCAAATCATAGTTTCTAAATACACAATTATAAATACTCATATATAAGTAAATTTGAAGCTAGTGATGTCTTTCCTGAAAGTGAGTCATTTCCCAAATATGAGAGAAGTTTAATAAATTAAACCATAAGAATTAGAATATCTTAACTAATTTCTTAAATTGTATCATCCTTTTTTTATTTTGTTGAACATAAGATTTCAGTTTAACAATAAATTTTACATTTAAATCCGATGGACATTAGAATTATAACAAAAAACTATATTTGTTACATGATGGTTGGAAATTGACCACAGGATGGTTGGAAATTGACCACAAATATTCATTTTGATCATACAATCAATGTTGAAGATTGCCCAATCTGACCTTAATTCGCTTAAGGTTATCTTCTGGGAAAACTGCTATTTGTTGAAAAAATAATCTTAAAAATTTAGGATGAAGTTTATGAAAAATGTAACAATTGGGTGTGTTTAGGTCATAAAAGAAGGAATTGATCATTGATCTTTGATCATAGTTATTGAGTAATCAGATTGCAAAATAGCACTGCTCGTGAGGGAGATTGGATATATATTGCTGATATGTGAATGTGATTTTCAGTGACATACCAAAATGAATGCAACATACTTATACACTCACATTGTCAACAAAAATATTTTTATTATTTGTTTCCATGTCTATTTATAACTGCATATGAGGTTTGATTAAATTGAAACAACCAAAATAAATTATGTTGTCAATAAGCTGACCTACAAAATATTCATAGTTCATCCTGGATATGGACTCAAAAGTGTTTTGAAGGATGTCATAAAAGAATAAAACATTAACCTCTGTAGATCCAGTGAAGGCCACTTTGTTGATGTCAAGGTGGTTAGAGATGGCAGCACCAGCTGTGGGTCCATATCCAGGTACAATATTGACCACACCTGGAGGGAAACCAGCCTAAAAAGTAATAGTAACATATTTTTTCTGTATTTTTCATTAAGGCATAATTATACAAATCATATACTTAAAAAAATTGTCACACCATGGGGATATATTCTATATTACAATGTTAACAGTTTCAAGAGTAAAACAGTAGATAAACACTTAACATTATCATTACAGCTCGTAGCTTTTACAATTATCCTACTGAAATGCCTGTACCAAGTCAGGAATATGACAGTTGTTTTCCATTGGTTTGATATGTTTCAGCTTTTGATTTTGCCATTTGATAATAGACTTTCAGTTTTGAATTTTCCTTGAAGTTTGGTATTTTTGTTATTTTACTTTTTGCTATATCGATGGAAAAACGTTCATTTTGAGAATTTAAGAACTGTTGTGAAAATTTAGACATTGATCACACTATAGATTTTTAGTTACAAAAACAGAAATCTCATAATCTGCAAAAATTGTCAAATAAAAATGGTCAGGTCAACAACAAATGATGAACGATTTCACTAACAATGACAGTTTGTTGTGGTACCAGGTCCATATCCCCAGGGCTCACGCTAGCAGGTGACTGGGGCGAAGAAGTCGCTTTCAAGTCCGTCACTTCGCTTTGCCCGACCGTCAAAAGCGATATCTAGTCGCCCGGTGTTCACAATAGTCTCTTTCAATCGCTTCCGTCATCGGCAATTTTCCATTTTCACCAAGTTGTAGAAACGACAATTTTTCATTTATAAGTAAAAAATTTGAAGACATAAACAATTTATTTCTTTAGAAAAAGTGGGGAAAGCATTGATTTGTAGATTGGTCGTATGTTATTTCAAAGAAACAACTTTTAACGAAGTATTTTCTTTCACTTCCCACACTTGTTTCTCGAGAGCGTACATCAAAAGATCCTGATTTTTAGCAAAATAATGTGTTAATGTGTTACTACATTAGAATGTAATGAAAATTGCCTTCAGTTGATGTTACATCCATTAATTGCATTAAAAACGTCATATTCCTTTCCAAATTGCTTGTCAAACATCATTTATTTTTGTAAATTTTCCTTCGTCCGCCATTGAAATATATACGAATTATGGATCAGATACGGACCAACTATGAACGAAATCCGTATTCTTGCGATAATAACTACAGACGCACGAACGGCACTGCTGACAGAAGAATATCTATCACAAAAGTGAAAAATACGCATCCCACATGCATTAACAGAATTTTGTTTGGATCCCCTTAGTTAAATGTATATATTTCAATGCAAATGCATTGTTTCAATCTGGGAACAGTATATCAATATATGTTCCTTTTTCAATTTATTGATTTAAGTTGCTTAAACTTATTAAGTTTATATATCTTTTTAATGAGAAACAATGAATATCATCAACATAATAGTTTTCCTCATTGGATTTTAATTGATAACTGTGGTTTCTTTTTCTTTTTGATTATAAAAAATCTTTAAATAGGGCTAGACATTTAGTTAGTAGTTTCTGACAAGTGGAAAAAAATGTAATTGTGTAACTATAAATGAAATTTAGGACATAAACTGATACAACTGTTACTGTAATGGTATTATCAGGTATGATTTGAACAATACAGAAAAGAATTGAATAAATAGGCTACATATGGCCATATATATTATTGTAAAAACCAAACATTATAGCGCCCTGAACGCGCGAGCACTTCTCTTTTAAGTCTCACCACTTCTCCCTATAAGTTTCAAAAAGAGAAGTCACTTCTCCCTATGATTCTGAAGTAGTGTGAGCCCTGTATCCCTTTGTAGATTTCAATGTCCATGTTATGCTTTGGGAAACACCAAATTCCTCTTACTAATACATATTATTACAGGTAGATAAAGGTATATTAGAAATATTTGGGGAAATTTAAATGTAATCCACAAATTGATGTAGCATCTTCATAAGGTTTATAGCACTATTTTCACAAACAAATATGATATATCTACTGGATGTTTCAAAGCATTTAAACTGATTTTTTTAATCGAATCATTTAAATACTTTTATATGATAATAAAAATAAGTTGATTGAAATATAGTTTCCACTTTTAGAGAATTTCATACCTCTTTCAACAGAGCACAGCAATATAAAGCTGTCAGCGGTGTCTGTTCTGCAGGCTTGACCACAATGACATTACCAGCAGCTAATGCTGGAGCTATCTTCCATACAAACATTGGTACAGGGTAGTTCCACTGTAAATACAATCTATCCATGATGAAATGTCATAGCATTTAACTGTAGATCTATACAAACATTGGTTACTACAGATAGTTCCACTGTAACTATAATCTATACATGATGAAATGTCATAACCTGTAGATTCATGTACTTTTGTCTTAGTTTTTTTTTGAATAAATTAATCTTATTACAATTATTGATAAATTATTATGTCAATGCATAATATCAACTTATATCATTTAGTCTATCTTATTCTTTATGTAACGTCACCATTTGGAAAAGCTTCTCCAAAGTTTTATTCAGTTCTTGGTTTCCTCAACTCATCAATTACACACAAACTTCCATTTTTTGTTAGAAATTTAAAATAATCACCAACCGTTAATAGCTTATAAGAAATTATAAGTTGCTTAATTATTTATTGTACTGTATTGTTATAACTTCTGAATATTTGTGAATAAAAATATACAAAATCTCTTGTATTTTTTACCTTTTTAACCTTTAAACCTTTTTAAATTTGTATGTTTACTTACTGGAATGATTTGTCCACAAATGCCTACTGGTTCATGTTTGGTATAACACAAATAATCACCATCTACAAGGGAAATAACTCTGATTAATCAAACTTCAGACTACTGGTTCGTGTTTGGTATAACATAAATAGTCACCATCTACAAGGGAAATAACTCTGATTAATCAAACTTCAGACTACTGGTTCATGTTTGGTATAACACAAATAGTCACCATCTACAAGGGAAATAACTCTGATTAATCAAATTTCAGACTACTGGTTCATGTCTGGTATAACATAAATAGTCACCATCTACAAGGGAAATAACTCTGATTAATCAAACTTCAGACTACTGGTTCATGTCTGGTATAACATAAATAGTCACCATCTACAAGGGAAATAACTCTGATTAATCAAACTCATGTTTGGTATAACACAAATAGTTACCATCTACAAGGGAAATAACTCTGATTAATCAAACTCATGTTTGGTATAACACAAATAGTCACCATCTACAGGGGAAATAACTCTGATTAATCAAACTTCAGACCACTGGTTCATGTCTGGTATAACACAAATAGTCACCATCTACAAGGGAAATAACTCTGATTAATCAAACTTCAGACTACTGGTTCATGTCTGGTATAACATAAATAGTCACCATCTACAAGGGAAATAACTCTGATTAATCAAACTTCAGACTACTGGTTCATGTCTGGTATAACATAAATAGTCACCATCTACAAGGGAAATAACTCTGATTAATCAAACTTCAGACTACTGGTTCATGTCTGGTATAACATAAATAGTCACCATCTACAAGGGAAATAACTCTGATTAATCAAACTCATGTTTGGTATAACACAAATAGTTACCATCTACAAGGGAAATAACTCTGATTAATCAAACTCATGTTTGGTATAACACAAATAGTCACCATCTACAAGGGAAATAACTCTGATTAATCAAACTTCAGACCACTGGTTCATGTCCGGTATAACACAAATAGTCACCATCTACAAGGGAAATAACTCTGATTAATCAAACTTCAGACCACTGGTTCATGTCTGGTATAACACAAATAGTCACCATCTACAAGGGAAATAACTCTGATTAATCAAACTTCAGACTACTGATTGATGGCTTGTAAAAGACATTTTTGTTGAATAAACTGAATGTGATTAATTCTCATTGAAATTATGGTTATTTCAAATACTGTCAAGTTTTGTCATAATCAGTTCAACAGTTTGAGAGAAATTTAATATAACGTAAGACGACATCTTCAGAGATTTGAGCAAAATTTGTTCGAAAAATCCAAATAATGCCGCATCTTGATAGAATATAGTGTGGATCAATAATATCACCAATAAATGATCAAATATTCATCTCATCTGCTTATAAAATGCTTCGCTGGGGCGCAGCTTGATACGACCGCAGAGGTCGAACCCTGAACAGTTGGGGCAAGTATGGACACAACATTCAAGCTTGATACAGCTCTGAATTTGGATTGTTATTAAATATTTGACACAGCATAGGTTTCTGACACAGAAAGAATGTGGTCTAAGAACTTGAATTTTTTTAATTTACCTATTATGGTCCAATGTCCAAAATCAAAATACATGGTTAGATTCAGCATATCAAAGAACCCCATATATTCAATTTTTGTTAAAATCAAACAAAGTTTAATTTTGGACCCCAACTTGGACAAACTTGAAAACTGGGCCCATAATCAAAAATCTAAACACATGTTTAGATTCAGCATATCAAAGAACCCCAAGAATTCAATTTTTGCTAAAATCAAACTAAGTTTAATTTTGGACCCTTTGGACCTTAATGTAGACCAATTTAAAAAACGGGACATAAAATTAAAAATCTAAATACACGGTTAGATTTGGAATATCAAAAAACCCCAATAATTCAATTTTTGATGAAATCAAACAAAGTTTAATTTTGGACCCTTTTGACCTCAATATGAACCAATTTGATAGCGGGGCCCACAAATAAAAAATCTAAGTTCATGGTTAGATTCAGCATATCAAAGAACCCCATATATTCAATTTTTGTTGAAATCAAAAAAAGTATAATTTTGGACCCCAACTTGGACCAACTTGAAAACTGGGCCCATAATCAAAAATCTAAACACATGTTTAGATTCAGCATATCAAAGAACCCCAAGAATTCAATTTTTGTTAAAATCAAACTAAGTTTAATTTTGGACCCTTTGGACCTCAATGAAGACCAATTTAAAAAACGGGACCCAAATTAAAAATCTAAAAACACGTTTAGATTTGGCATATCAAAGAACCCCAATAATTCAATTTTCGATGAAATCAAACAAAGTTTAATTTTGGACCCTTTTGACCTCAATATGAACCAATTTGATAGCGGGGCCTACAAATAAAAAATCTAAATACATGGTTAGATTCAGCATATCAAAGAACCCCATATATTCAATTTTTGTTGAAATCAAACAAAGTTTAATTTTGGACCCCAATTTGGACCAACTTGAAAACTGGGCCCATAATCAAAAATCTAAATACATGTTTAGATTCAGCATATCAAAGAACCCCATATATTCAATTTTTGTTGAAATCAAACAAAGTTTAAATACTGGACCCTATCTTGGACCAACTTGAAAACTGGGCCCATAATCAAAAATCTAAACACATGTTTAGATTCAGCAAATCAAAGAACCCCAAGAATTCAATTTTTGTTAAAATCAAACTAAGTTTAATTTGGACCCTTTGGACCTCAATGTAGACCAATTTAAAAAACAGGACCCAAAATTAAAAACCTAAATACACGGTTAGATTTGGAATATCAAAGAACCCCAATAATTCAATTTTAGATGAAATCAAACAAAGTTTAATTTTGGACCCTTTTGACCTCAATATGAACCAATTAGATAACGGGGTCCACAAATAAAAAATCTAAATACATGGTTAGATTCAGCATATCAAAGAAACCCATATATTCAATTTTTGTTGAAATCAAACAAAGTTTAATTTTGGACCCCAATTTGGACCAACTTGAAAACTGGGCCAAAAATCAAAAATCTAAATACATGTTTAGATTCAGCATATCAAAGAACCTCATATATTCAATTTTTGCTAAAATCAAACAAAGTTTAATTTTGGACCCTTTGGACATTAATGTAGACCAATTTGAAAATTGGACCCAAAATTAAAAATCTAAATACACTGTTAGATTCGGCATAACAAATAAATAAATGTGATCAAAGATTTTACAATTCTAATGCGCCATACTGTGCAATTAAAGATTACTTCTTGAAATTTTTCAATATTTGAAATTTGAAAAAAAAATAATATTTGAAGAATAATTCTTTTTAATTTCTGAAATCTGAAATGAGAAAAAATTGGCCCCCCACAATTTCTTTTTATCCTCCCCCCCTTTTTTCCCCCCAAAAAATTCTTTCCCTCAAGATATGGTCATAATCTCAATTCAAATTTCCAATGGAGTTGGCAACCATAATTACCCATTTAAATTTACCATAGTGCTAACTTAATCTATTTTATAATAGAATTAATAAAAATATAGTGTCAAATCTTTCATATGGATTTTTTTGTAAAAAAAAAAGATGAAAACATTTGCAGATATTTTTACTGGTCTTCCTTTATAAATATGCATTTCTTTAAACATAATTTAAAAGCAGTGTAAGGGAAGTAACCAAAACGTTGTATTTGGATTACCTCCCTTACACTGTTTTAGATTATCTTTATTGTTCATTAACCATTACTTTATACATAATTTAAAAGCAGTGTAAGGGAGATAATTTCAATGATGTATTTGATTTATCTCCCTTACACTGCTTTAAATTATGTTTTGTACTAAAGTATTTGTCCATTAACCAGGACAACCTTGTTTTTCCCCCTTTTTTGCCCCTAATTCCTAAACGGTTTGAGCCATAACCCCCCAAAGCAAATCCTAACCATCCCTTTGTGGTATGGAAACTTGTAGTATAATTTCAGAGAGATCCATACACCGTTCCACAGTTATTGTCTGGAAACTAGAAAATGCTCATTTTTGGCCCCTTTTTGGCCCCTAATTCCTTAACTGTTGGTACCATAACCCCCAAAATCAATCCCAACCTTCCTTTTGTGGTATTTAACCTTATGGTCAAATTTCAAAAAGATCCATTCACTTAAACTAAAGTTAGAGTGCGAAAACCAATATGTATTCGGACGACGACGCCGGACGACGACGACGACGACGACGACGACGCCAACGTCATACCAATATACGACCACAAAATTTTTTTGCGGTCGTATAAAAATCTGTCAAAATCAAGGGAATATTTTTGTCGACCCTTTTTCGTATGAAACCGGATGTGATATACTATGATTTGGTTGTATTACACCTATAACACACAAAAAACCACCATCTACATGGGAAATAACTCTGATTAATCAAACTTCATACAACTGGTTCATGTCTGATGTAACACCCCAAAAAAAAATCACCATCTACAAGGGAAATAACTCTGATTAATCAAACTTCAAACCACTGGTTCATGTCTGGTATAACATAAGTAGTCACCATCTACAAGGGAAATAACTCTGATTAATCAAACTTCAGACTACTGGTTCATGTCTGGTATAACATAAATAGTCACCATCTACAAGGGAAATAACTCTGATTAATCAAACTCATGTTTGGTATAACACAAATAGTTACCATCTACAAGGGAAATAACTCTGATTAATCAAACTCATGTTTGGTATAACACAAATAGTCACCATCTACAAGGGAAATAACTCTGATTAATCAAACTTCAAACCACTGGTTCATGTCTGGTATAACATAAATAGTCACCATCTACAAGGGAAATAACTCTGATTAATCAAACTTCAGACTACTGGTTCATGTCTGGTATAACAAAAATAGTCACCATCTACAAGGGGAATAACTCTGATTCATCAAACTTCAGCCTACAGGTTCATGTCATGAATATTGGTACCCATGAAAATAAATAAATCCACAGTACACAGTAGTCTGTCTGCATGTTTATCACACAGTGGTCTGTCTGCATGTTTATCACACAGTAGTCTGTCTGCATGTTTATCACACAGTAGTCTGTCTGCATGTTTATCACACAGTAGTCTGTCTGCATGTTTATCACACAGTAGTCTGTCTGCATGTTTATCACACAGTGGTCTGTCTGCATGTTTATCACACAGTAGTCTGTCTGCATGTTTATCACACAGTGGTCTGTCTGTATGTTTATCACACAGTAATTTGTCTGTATGTTTATCACACAGTGGTCTGTCTGCATGTTTATCAAACAATAGTCTGTCTGCATGTTTATCACACAGTGGTCTGTCTGTATGTTTATCACACAGTGGTCTGTCTGCATGTTTATCACACAGTAGTCTGTCTTCATGTTTATCACACAGTGGTCTGTCTGTATGTTTATCACACAGTAATTTGTCTGCATGTTTATCACACAGTGGTCTGTCTGTATGTTTATCACACAGTAGTCTGTCGGTATGTTTTTCACACAGTTATTTGTCTGCATGTTTATCACACAGTAATTTGTCTGTATGTTTATCACACATTAATTTGTCAGAATGTTTATCACACAGTAGTCTGTCTGCATGTTTATCACACAGTAATTTGTCTGCATGTTTATCACACAGTAATTTGTCTGCATGTTCATCACACATTAGTCTGTCTGCATGTTCATCACACAGTAATTTGTCTGTATGTTTATCACACAGTAGTCTGTCTGTATGTTTATCACACAGTAATTTGTCTGCATGTTTATCACACAGTAGTCTGTCTGTATGTTTATCACACAGTAATTTGTCTGCATGTTTATCACACAGTAGTCTGTCTGCATGTTCATCACACAGTAATTTGTCTGTATGTTTATCACACAGTAGTCTGTCTGCATGTTTATCACACAGTAGTCTGTCTGTATGTTTATCACACAGTAATTTGTCTGCATGTTTATCACACAGTAGTCTGTCTGCATGTTCATCACACAGTAATTTGTCTGTATGTTTATCACACAGTAGTCTGTCTGCATGTTTATCACACAGTAGTCTGTCTGTATGTTTATCACACAGTAATTTGTCTGCATGTTTATCACACAGTAATTTGTCTGCATGTTTATCACACAGTAGTATGTCTGCATGTTCATCACACAGTAATTTGTCTGTATTTTTATCACACAGTAGTCTGTCTGTATGTTTATCACACAGTAATTTGTCTGCATGTTTATCACACAGTAGTCTGTCTGCATGTTCATTATTCAGTAATTTGTCTGTATGTTTATCACACAGTAGTCTGTCTTTATGTTTATCACACAGTAATTTGTCTGCATGTTTATCACACAGTAATTTGTCTGTATGTTTATCACACAATAATTTGTCTGTATGTTTATCACATAATAATTTGTCTGTATGTTTATCACAAAATGATGTTCCACCCACCTTTTCAAGTGACAAAGGATAATTAGTCTTTATCTTCACAGAACTATAATTACTGATATAATGAAGAAGATTTGTTCCAATGTATTTATCGAACAATTAATCCTTATGTTAAGTGCCAGTCTTTGTAAGAATCAGGCAATTTTGAAAAAAATCAAAACATGGCAAAAAAAAACCACCAACCTTACCATCCTAATTTGAAGTTACCCTCATCCTTAGTTAGAAAAGGTAGGTCTTTCATTTCTACGGGTCTGGGTATACGAGAAATCTCTAGATAATTTTTGGTTAGAATGAAAATACGGAGTTAGCTACCCTTAATTTTTAATTTCTAGTGCATATCAACCAAATTATATCTTGAATTACCAGAACAGGTAAAGGAAACAAATGTTATATTTGTGCACAATTATACAATCTGAACATTATATAAATAACACATAGCTGAGAGAGCAGATTGTTACCCCGAGAAAACATTGTCAACTGAGGCGAAGCCAAGGTTGACAATGTCTTTTCAAGGGGTAACAATCTGCTCTATCACCCTCTCAGATATGTGTTATTTAATTTATTATACTGAATGTTCTGTTATTACTGTCGATTAAATTTCAAATTCAAAGTAATAAACTATGACGTCTTGTACATAACAACCAGCCGTATTTAATAAAGCGTACACTTGATCAAGCGTCTCTGTGAAGGGTAATAGAGTATTTTCCATAGGATAGAGTCGTATTTAATAAAGCGCACACTTGATCAAGCGTCTCCGTGAAGGGTAATAGAGTATTTACCATAGAATAGAGTAAATTAACACCCTTGTATAAGCCAATCAAAATCTTGCATACAAAATATCAACTTGAGTGGGTTTTTGTTTGTCATGTTTTCACCACTGCCTGTTTCTTAGGCAGATTGGTACTTAATTGTAATGGATTTTGTGTTGGCAAATTTCTCTGTCTATAAATAATAGATTTGGGTCCATGTTATGTTAAGGAAAATCAATCTAAAAAATTAATTGTAAGATGCACAAAAGATTGTTTGAAGTAATTCTGTCAGGTTTCATTCCATTTCTATGTAAACTTTAGATTTAAGACAGATAGACAAACACTATGTTTCCTCAGTTATAATATTGGGAGACATAATTAATGTACATAAAGCCATCTTTTTTATATCTAAAATCCATATATATTTCTGTTTAGGTTTCATAATAAATTTAAGAGTTTTTTAATACAAATATGAACTTTTTGCTAGTATATTGCAGTGCACTGCAGACTTCCACATTTTCCTAACACAGGAAAATCCATTTTTTAAATGAAATTGCTCATGAATAAAATCAATCAGTGATTAAATGAATTTGTCTGTACATATTGTCTTTGATTGTTAATATTTAAAACCTATTGATAACTGACAACACTGACACTTTAAATTCTCCTAATCCTCAATGGCTTTCTGGGAACATATACACAATGTTGACAATCAGGGAATTGCTCTTGAATGCAGGGTTACATCACAGGTCCATTTAGGACCATATTCTAGGTTTGAAGCAGAAAGGAATTCTAGAAATGTAACATAATGAGTTTTGTGAGGGATCCTCCGCAATAGACACAATGACATGTGCCACTATGCTAAGAAGTCCAAGGTGAAGGTGAACTTTATCATTTTTTCTTTGTTGTGATAACTTGATAGACTTGTTTGAAAGTGTTCTGTCTTTATTTCTTCAAAAACAAATTGTTTGATGCTTAATAACATAATACTGATTATTGTGCAATACATTCTCCTGACTTACTAATGGGAATTGTTTTTCCATGAATTTTATCTGCCCATCCTGCGTAGTAATTGACAACATCTGATGAGAAGTAACATTCCCCAAAAGCTTGTGTGTATGGTTTACCATTATCTAAAGTCTCCAAACTCTGAAAGTGTTAAATACCAAAAATCATTATATAAGAAAAATTATACCATTTGACTTTCTCATGTTTATCTGTTACAAACTAATGATTTTTTAGTCCGCATCTGATCAGAGATATGCCTTGTCAGTACTTATAAGTTATAAACTATTAATTTCTAACTCTGATCCAATAATTATCATCCTTTTCTGTAGCAACTCAACGACACAAAAAATTCATAAATTGTTTTATGGAACCCTGTGTCATAGAACCCTGTGTCATAGAACCCTTTGTCATAGAACCCTGTGTCATAGAACCCTGTGTCATAGAATCCTGTGTCATAGAACTCTGTGTCATAGAACCCTTTGCCATAGAACCCTGCTGTGTCATAGAACCCTGTGTCATAGAACCCTGTGTCATAGAACCCTGTGTCATAGAACCCTGTGTCATATAGAACCCTTTGTCATAGAACCCTGTGTCATAGAACCCTGTGTCATAGAACCCTTTGTCATAGAACCCTGTGTCATAGAACCCTTTGTCATAGAACCCTTTGCCATAGAACCCTTTGTCATAGAACCCTTTGTCATAGAACCCTGTGTCATAGAACCCTGTGTCATAGAACCCTGTGACATAGAACCCTGTGTCATATAGAACCCTTTGTCATAGAACCCTTTGTCATAGAACCCTGTGTCATAGAACCCTGTGTCATAGAACCCTTTGTCATAGAACCCTGTGTCATAGAACCCTTTGTCACACCTGTGATTAATATAGCTGCTGTCAGCGTAAAGGCAAGGGATGACAAACAAAACCCGAGTCTATTTATCAGGGTGAAAAATTCCCAATTTTTCTTCAGATGCTATTTATAGATCAAGAAGAAGCTTCTGTCCAAGTTTTGTTACATTCCATGAAGGTTTGACAAATTTTTGATGTCTAAAAATTTGAATCGCAAAAGCTAAGTCCATCCTTTAGTGTTTAATGGGGGGAAAAAAATCAAAATTTTGCCATAGATCCAATTTTTTAATCATAAAAAAGTTTTTATCAAAGTTTCTTTAAATTCTATTAAAGTCATATGAAATGACTTCTTGTAATTTTAATGTTATCGAAATTATTGAACCAATGCATGCATATATACTAAACTAAGTCATGCACCTGTCCTAACTCATGAACCTGATGTTCAGTGGTTGTCGTTTGTTTATGTGGTTCATAAGTGATTCTCGTTTCTCGTTTTTTATATAGATTAGACCGTTAGTTTCCTATTTGAACGGTTTTATACACTAGTCATTTTTGGGTCCCTTTATAGCTTGCTGTTCGGTGTGAGCCAAGGCTCCGTGTTGAAGGCCGTACTTTGACCTATAATGGTTTACTTTTACAAATTGTGACTTGGATGGAGAGTTGTCTCATTGGCACTCATACCACATCTTCTTATATCTATGTTTTTGATATTTATCACAAATCTATAACATATTATCGACAAATAATATTTCACTCAGTGATCGTTGATAGCAAGCTAATAAGGTCTTCCCACTTTAATGTGGAAAGACCTATTGATTTTGTTCTGATTATTTTTTTCTTTTCTTTTGCCAAATTATTTCTTGTGCTGTTTGGTTGTTTCAGAGATGTCGCTTAGATATTTGATATATGATATCTAACAGTTTTTACGCTTTTAAAATTGACACCACGTAAAGGAACACATTTCTTTGTAAGAGTTATCTCCCCAAACACTGTTTTTCTTGTGTCTGCTACTCCTTCGCAACCGTAAAAGATTACGACAAAATTATCTCACCAATTATCTCATTACATCCTCAGGATCTTAAGAATTATTTTGACTGAAGAGATCTGGAGATTCCATATGAGAGTTATTTCCCCTTATGTATTCGATATAAGCGAAATGTAATAGTAACTCATAAACCATAAGTGAAAGAGACCTAGGGTCTTTTGATTTGAGGTCCTGGGTCCACCAAAAAGAAAATGTGGTAAAGGTCAAAGGTCAAGATCATGTTTTAATTATTTTGCTTTTGCTTGTGCATGCTTTTCCCAAACAACTGTAATATATATCGACAAAAGATTTTCACTAAATTATTAGCTGTGATATGTTGTAATAGGAAATATCATTTACTAGGTGTTTTCTGCCCTGGAATGTTAGAAGAATGGTAATATTACTTATTATACTGCACTCGTTCTATTTGAGCAGTCAAAATGCGTTAACCGTATATTTCTATGTCATATACAGTCACTGACCTGATATCACTTTTCCTCATGAATATTTAAATAGAAATTGCCGAAATTATAATTAATTATTCATACGACCTATTCAACCTGTTCTTGTTTCCAATGTATATAACGACTCAAACTTATTTCTTTTGCAATTTTTAGAAAAAAAAACATATTTCATTTGTTAATATTTTTGGTGTGCAAACTATAAATCATTATGTTTTATGTTTATTGTTGATATTTTAGTTCATTCTCAAGCAAATTCCTTCACCATCGATTGCGGGTTTCAACAGGTAATGTACATTTCATTGTGTTGTATATTTGTCCGCCTGCATGATATGAGGCCTTTTTATAAAAGGGGGAAGTTTCCCAATATTTAAATCAAATAATAACATAAACACATTAAACAATAATTGAAAATGTTTTTTTATTAGATTGCAGTATAAAGACAATAATAGTGCATTGACTTGACATATCAACGATATAAGGATTTCTAAGCCTCATCCTTATATCGTTGATATGTCAAGTCAATGCACTATTATTGTCTATTTAACAATACATAGTAGAGACCTAAGAGACCTTGAAATTGAGGTCAAGGTCATATATAAATTTGACGTTCTAGATATTGACATTTACTTTAATTTCATATTTATATATAATAAAGCCATGGGACCTTTTTCATTCAGTTGTAAGCCATATGTCCGTGAAAGAATCAACCGTAAGTGACTTTATGAAAACCGGAAGTAGCTATTTTTTTGAACTTATTTAATGTAAAAGTATAAAGAACCATACATTTTTGGAATCAGTGTCAAGTAACCTATCATATTAAACCGAAAGTGACATTTTTCACACTGGAAGCTACAAATTATCTCCCTTATTTCAAACAAAAGTGTATAGAAACCATATATTTTTAGAATCAGCATACAGTAAGCTATCATCTGACACCGGAAATGACATTTTAAAAAATATTTTCATATCAAAATATATCGTATCGGGTGGAAAGACCTTCAACTGTTTTCTAAACAATTGGTTTGTAATTAACTTTTGTGTTTGTGGCTGAAGTTTACCAGATCATGAAATTGATAAACAAACAACACAGAGCATGTGGAGCACATGACAAATAAGTGAATTGATAAAACATTGATGCTTTTTTTTTTTCTTTTCATGCGTTCCCATTTGTTATTTAAACTTTTCCTTAACAGTTGTTATATAATTTGATGTATTTAATTTGTTCCTTTAAGAATCAGTTATTACTGTTTACATTCTTTCATCACTGTTTTCCCCTCACACTTGTGCTGTTCGGTGACTGAAGTTCTAACGAGAGGTTCTAGTTAAGATCACTGCATATGGGAAAATATTGGCAAATTAGTGTACGGGAAGACAATAATTCATTAGCAGTACATTTATGAAGATTTTGAAGTTCACTCACCCTTGTTTCATAGTAAAACTTAGCCATTCAAGTATATCAATCATATTCAACTTTTTTTTAATTTGAAGCTCGAGTCCTATGACTTTAAGGTTTGACAAAGTTATCTACTAAACTGTTACCTGCCAAAAAAAGTCCTTTTATCATTTAAATTAAGAAAAATGAGGAAAAAAATCCAAATTTTGCTTTGGATTCTGTCTTTTTTAACAGAAAGAAATTAATGGCTTCAAACCTAGTTTCAGACAATTCCATGATGGTTTAACAAAGATATTGATAAATACTTTTACAACAGACGGAAACCGAAACACTAACGAAGCTGATGCCAACAGCAGAATGTAGGATGTCTATATCTTGCCTCTGTGACTGAAACTTCTTTATGTTTGATCAAGAAATAGCATCTAAAGAAACTGTTCATCATTTTATTTTTTTTTGTATTTTTTGCAGTCAACATTACAGTTTTACACTGAAAGCAGGAATGTTAGGTGAGACACAGGGTTCCATGGAACCCTTTACAATTTTTTTGTATTATATTTTTTTGGGGGAAAAATGGAGAAAAAAACTGTGTCTATGTACTGTAAAGCAAATTTGACTACTAGTATCACTTAATAGTACTTTCTCTTATATAAACCTTGTTGTAGAAAGTCTTTGTGTATAGGTAGGACAACAGTTAAAGATAAGAACCCAGTAATTCATTAAAGGTGAGATAAGAAATTAAGTCCTATTTATCAAAGTGCTGAAAATTCGGGCGAATTACTTTTGTGCACATTTGAATCCAGACACGAAACCCAAATTCAATCTCCTAATTGTTCATTGTTGTTGAGCAAGATACAATAAGGGTATAAATAACGTATAAATTATTGTGTCATATCAAAATGATATTTTAAAAAAATAAATGAATTGTGTTTACCTGTTAAATGAATGTGCACAATAAAAAGCTGCAATCAAATGTAATGCTCAAGGAAATCCTAAATCAATAATATATGATGAAATGCACAGGGAAACTCCTAAATAAACTGCATATGATGTAATACGCAGGGAAACTCATAAATCAACAATATATGATGTAATACAAAGGGAAACTCCTAAATCAACAACATATGATGAAATGCACAGGGAAACTTTACACAGGGACTCCTAAAACAACTACATATGATGTAATACACAGGGAAACTCCTAAATCAACAACATATGATGAAATGCACAGGGAAACTCCTAAATAAACTGCATATGATGTAATACACAGAGAAACTCCTAAATCAACTACAATAGTTGAAATGCACAGGGAAACTCCTAAATAAACTGCATATGATGTAATACACAGGGAAACTCCTAAATAAATTGCATATGATGTAATACACAGGGAAACTCCTAAATAAACTACATATGATGAAATGCACAGGGAAACTCCTAAATAAATTGCATATGATGTAATGCACAGGGAAACTCCTAAATCAACGACATGATGAAATGCACAGGAAAACTCCCAAATCAACAACATATGATGTAATACACAGGGAAACTCCTAAATCAACTACATATGATGTAATACACAGGGAAACTCCTAAATCAACTACATATGATGAAATGCACAGGGACACTCCTAAATCAACTACATATGATGAAATGCACAGGGAAACTCCTAAATAAATTGCATATGATGTAATACACAGGGAAACTCCTAAATCAACAACATATGATGAAATGCACAGGGAAACTCCTTAAATCAACTACATATGATGTAATACACAGGATGTTTTTACATCCTACAAGATATGACAATAATGGGATAGTTGTAATCACAAAGTTCTTTTCACCATGATGTACTTTTACAAATATACATATACACACATATAGTCATAAACTCCGGTAAAATTATCATAACCAGACATCCTTCATATGTGACAGCCCCATTAGACAAAAGAATGAGGAAGTGTATTACTTTTTACATCTGCCCTTAACTTACCACAAATATCATAATATCAATTATATCATACATTATGATAAAAAATCCTACTTAATTCATATTGAACAACTAACCAGACAAAGACTTTGAATTAGTAAACCTTTGGACATTACACAAGCTTACCATTATTTTGTCTAATAATTGCCATATGGAAGGGGAAATAATATAACTTACACCCAAGTACTGAGCATCTCTTTCTAGGAGGGTAGCAAATTTCATCAAAAGTTTCCCTCTCTTGCTGGCATCCATTCGTCGCCATGGTGATCCGAGTTTGAAAGCTTCTTTTGCTGCAGCGACTGCCTTATCAACATCTGCCTGAAATGTAAAGAATAGGACAATAATGGAAAAGGCAAGACGGTTATTACATTGATTGGATGGTAACGAATAGGACAATAATAGAAAAGGCAAGACCATTATTACATTGATTGGATGGTAACAAATAGGACAATAATGGAAAAGGCAAGACCATTATTACATTGATTGGATGGTAAAGAATAGGACAATAATAGAAAAGGCAAGACCATTATTACATTGATTGGATGGTAAAGAATAGGACAATAATAGAAAAGGCAAGACCATTATTACATTGATTGGATGGTAACGAATAGGACAATAATAGGAAAGGCAAGACCATTATTACATTGATTGGATGGTAATGAATAGGACAATAATGGAAAAGGCAAGACCATTATTACATTGATTGGATGGTAACGAATAGGACAATAATAGGAAAGGCAAGACCGTTATTACATTGATTGGATGGTAACGAATAGGACAATAATAGGAAAGGCAAGACCGTTATTACATTGATTGGATGGTAAAGAATAGGACAATAATAGGAAAGGCAATGCTGTTATTACATTGATTGGATGGTAAAGAATAGGACAATAATACAAATGGCAAGACCATTATTACATTGATTGGATGGTAAAGAATAGGACAATAATAGAAAAGGCAAGACCATTATCACATTGATTGGATGGTAAAGAATAGGACAATAATAGAAAAGGCAAGACCATTATTACATTGATTGGATGGTAAAGAATAGGACAATAATAGGAAAGGCAAGACCGTTATTACATTGATTGGATGGTAACGAATAGGACAATAATGGAAAGGCAAGACCGTTATTACATTGATTGGATGGTAAAGAATAGGACAATAATAGGAAAGGCAATGCCATTTTTACATTGATTGGATGGTAAAGAATAGGACAATAATAGAAAAGGCAAGACCATTATTACATTGATTGGATGGTTAAGAATAGGACAATAATAGAAAAGGCAAGACCATTATTACATTGATTGGATAGTAAAGAATAGGACAATAATAGAAAAGGCCAGACCGTTATTACATTGATTGGATGGTAAAGAATAGGACAATAATAGAAAAGACAAGACCAATATTACATTGATTGGATAGTAAAGAATAGGACAATAATAGAAAAGGCAAGACCATTATCACATTGATTGGATCTGACTGGTTTCATAACGAATATAAATATTTAGTGCATTTTCAGCCTTATTTTTTTTACTATTTTATTTCTAAGCACTTTATATATATATATATATATATGATTTTCTAGGCACTTTATATATATATAAGTCTAAATTAAATAACGTTCAAACCTATGATTGCATTGGATAAAAACCGCGATTTTTATATGTGTGCATGCAAAACAAATTTCTTGGTAGAGGGGTACAGCACATACAACATTTCCAAAAGACCAAAGAAGTGAAAAAGTATATTTCAACAAAACGCATTTGACTAGCAGGTCGAACAATGGATGTTCTTAAACCCTAGCTGCTGATTGCCATTGGCGATTGCCAAATAAACGGATCACCAGATGTAACAAAATGGATCTTAATTATAAATTTAATAATATATATATATATAAATGCCTATAAGAATGTAACTTTAACACACTAATGAGTGTTATAAAAATAGTTGTTATATTTTATATATTCACGCAATATTTCGTTAAACAAATTAGCTTCATCAGGCGCGTGCAGCCATCCAGGTAAAAATCAGATGCTGTAAAGAACTTTTTGCCGCTCATTGTACATGTCCTTTAAATATATTTTTGCAGCTTATTGTACATTGCGATTATTAAAATTAAAACAAATAATTATGTTAGTTAAATAGTAAGAAGTTCAAGATTTATTCCTTTGGATTCTGATAAAACTGTTTTTCATCTTTCTCATTCAGTCCATCAGGTTCAATAGTACATAGCTTATGCATCCAAAATCTCTCTCTCTATTTTCTACTTTGGGTGTCCTAATTTGAAAGGTGATATTTTCAAAAGTATGTCCTGTTCTTAAGAGGTGTCTCGTGATTGGGCAGTTTCTTTCTTTAGTATAAAATGACCGGTGATTATTAAGTCTGATGTTGAATTTAGTTTCTGTTTCGCCAACATATTGCAGCTTGCAAGTTCCAAAAGTAAGAATATAAATACTATTTTCCGTTTTGCAATTAGATGTAACATAGATGTTGTATCGCTGCTTTGTTACTGTGCTGGTGAAAGAGTTTTCAGTGTTGGGGACTTTACAGCACTTACAATTGCTTCTTCCGCATTGTTTGTAACACGCAATTTTAGAGGTCTCTTGTTTTTTTACTTTAGATGTAACAAGTATGTCTTTGAGATTTGGGTCTGCGATAAGCAATAACAGGAGGTGATGGAAAAACCTCTTTTAAGGAAGAGTCATTTTCAATAAGACGCCAGTGCTTGAGGACAGTAGATGAAATATTTGTCAGATCGGGATGGAAGGTGACAACAAACTAAATTCTATCTGTGCGGGTCGTCTTATATTTGTATTCCATGAGGATCTTCGATCTTTTTCGATATATAATTTATTATAATTTAGTAACTGCATCAGTTGATTTTCAAACTGATCCACGCCTAGATAGATTGAATGTTGATTGTTGCTATTTTTAGACACTATATATATATATATATATATATATATATATATATATATATATTGCAATTCAATAAACTGTTGACACAGAGATATGTCTCCCCTTTTTGTAATTTTGATAGTATAATGGCAATATTTAAACATATAAACTATGCAAAACATTCAAAGTCAATGAACCATGACTTAAGGTGCAGGACCAAATAACCTCCATGGAAATGAGAAATACCAATGCTTATAAAACTGCCTACAACTTACCATTGACTTATCATAAGTGGTTCCCTTAACACTATAACCTAAACACAAACTTTAAACTTGTAAACAATGTAAAAGTTTCAAAGTCAATAGAGCCAAATAATATCCATGGAAATGAGATGTACCAATGCTTATGCATCTGCATACCAAATATCATTGACCTACCTAATCACAAACTTATACATGTTAAGTAGGCAAAAGTTTCAAAGTAAATAGACCATGACTGAGGGGGCGGGATCATATAATCTCCATGGACATGAGAGGTGCCAATGCTAATACATCTGCATACCAAATATAATTGAAGGTCATATTGATTCAGTCATTATAGCATTAAATGTATTGCAGAAACACTTGTATGACCTTGGTAAGCAGTTGGTCATACTGATTCAGTGATTACAACATTTGATGTATTGCAGAAACACTTATATGACCTTGGTAAGCAGTTGAAGGTCATATTGATTCAGTTATTACAACATCAGATGTATTGCAGAAACACTTGTATGACCTTGAATTGGTAAGCAGTTGAAGGTCATATTGATTCAGTCATTACAACATCAGATGTATTGCAGAAACACTTGTATGACCTTGGTAAGCAGTTGAAGGTCATATTGATTCAGTCATTACAACATCAGATGTATTGCAGAAACACTTGTATGACATTGGTAAGCAGTTGAAGGTCATACTGATTCAAGCAACAAGGATTAACCATAAAATAAAATGTAATAAAACTTCTATGAACCTAAAAGGGAAGGTGAATTTCAGGTTCATTTAACTGTAGGTGAACTATGATCTCTTAAGCTTTTGTATTCCTAATCTTTGTAATTGCAATTTGTCTATAAGAACCAGAGCAAAACAAATAAGACACTATGCAGATTTCCTGGACTAATTCTTTCTAAGATTTCCATCCAAAATGTTGATTTGAAGTTTGGTGAGACTCTTATCCTCAATGACTAGGGAAAGAACCAAGCTGTTTGCATAGATCTTTGTGTTAAATGCTATATAATATAGGAATATAAAGCAAGACATTTTAAAGCAGAAATGGAATCAGTGAGTGTATGTAATACAAAGTTCTATAAAAGGCTTCTGTAATTAAACTGAGAATGAATAATGACTCTTCAAATGACAGTTTTATTAAGAAAACATCATTCAATTTAAAAGTGGGTTTTCAAGTGACTTATTTCAAACCATACTCTGTGATTGATTACCAATTAACATGAAAGATCATGAAGTTATATATCCATGTATATGCAATTTCAAATAAAGATTAGTGTCAAACAAATTGATATGGAATTTTTTTTGGACAATATCTTGTTTTGTGATTACAGTAGAAAAGAATCACATGCTAGTCAAATTAATTGTGACTAATTTTGATCAAGAGGTTATATATAGTTAGTATTGAAGGTTCTGAAGCTAAATCTGTCCAAATTTTCACAAGGATGAACAGTCAAATCTCAGGAATAAGGTCACCCCATTCAACATGTTCACCCCATTCAACATGTTCAAGCTGTTTCAATATTTTAATACCTAATATTTTTCAATTTGCTCTTGTTAAAGTTTTTACCTGAAATCACCAGTTGAAAGAAGATTTGGTTAACACATATATATGACATTTTTCTGATGGAAAATTAAAAACAACAAGTGAAACTGAGAGCTACTGCTCGCTGATGATACCCTCGCCCCAACTGGATAATTTTAATAGCGTAAAAATATGCAGGTAAACAGGAAGTTGTTGAGTGATGAATCTGAAAACGAATCACAATGTACAGCTGACTTATATAAACCCTGAAACCAAATTTCAGAAATCCTTATGATGTACGGACTTATGATGGACAGACTGACGGACGGTACGACGGATGGACAGACGGATAGACAGAGGTTATTAATAAAATGCTTCGCTGGGGCGCAGCTTGATACGACCGCAGAGGTCGAACCCTGAACAGTTGGGGCAAGTATGGACACAACATTCAAGCTTGATACAGCTCTGAATTTGGATTGTTATTAAATATTTGACACATCATAGGTTTCTGACACAGAAAGAATGTGGTCTAAGAACTTGAATTTTTTTAATTTACCTATTATGGTCCAATGTCCAAAATCAAAATACATGGTTAGATTCAGCATATAAAAGAACCCCATATATTCAAT